ACCAAGAAGATTCATGCTCTCCATTTCATTTGTATATGCACAACACAATAACAAAAGAGTGGCACTACAGGCACACCCCCAACCACATCTTGGGGCACACCTCTCTCTCAGCTACAGTGCATCTCTCAGCTACAGTGCATGTGGCCCACTTTAGATTTTTTTTAAAAATCTAAAGTGGGCCCCGTGCAGTGTAGCTGAGAGAGGGGGTGTGCCCCAAGGTGTGGTTGGGGGTGTATCTGTAGTGTTTTCCATAACAAAAACAGGAGAGAATCATAGCACTTACTCGAATAAAATACGGACATATATAAAGAAATAAAATATGTATATACGAAGGAAGCAACAAACCTCATCAAGAGTGGACGAATATCTGAGTAAATGAGTAAAATATCTGACAACGGAGAAATGATGTAGGAATCCAGTTCCATCCACCCAAGGAACAACGTAATCTAGCTTTTGTTTATGAGAAGGATGTAAAAATGCAACATTAAAAATAAATACCAGCTCAATTCCACGTAGGAACTACTTAATTTCTTAAACATCACTTGGTAGGTATGTACTAATAATAGGGCTTTGACCCATCTGAATTGTAATTCATAGGTAGGAGTGATCTCTGAGGAGATTACTTCCTATATTTATCCTTTGTTTCATAATAAAAGTTGTTCCTTTCACCCAAAATAAATAAATAATTAATTAAAAATAATAATAATAGGAAAGAAGACCACAACATACACATCGCATGAAAATTTATCAGATTATCAGGAATATGCTGAAGATAATTGTCCTTTTATCATATTATTCTTACATTTGCTCATAATTCTTGAACCGACCCGTTAACTGTAACTGATAATCTATACTACTTATAAAGAGAATACCCACATTAAAACTTTTGATTTCTCTTTTACCCTCTCAAATTATACCATTATTTATAAAAGTAATAATCCATAACATCTCATTAACTATGCAACTCTTCATTTTCTTAAATTATTTGGTCATTTACTAGAATATATTAATAATTTATAATGATAATAAAATTTATAAATATATAATAATTTATTATAAATAATTATTAATTATATAAAATAGTAAAAGTCATTCATTTAATTAAATTATAATTATTAATAATAGTATAAATAGGAGTTAGTTCTTTATGTTACAAAGAATATTACCTTCTTCAATAATTAATATCGTCTTAGTAATAAAAATTTAGATGTTATAAATTAAAAATATTTTTATTTTAGAAAATTAATTTATATAAAAATATTAAGATCCATGGAATTTATGAGACATGTACTTTTCTCTTCTTTTTCCCAAAATCTTTGGTCACTCGCTAGAACATATTAATAATTTATTAGTGATAATAAAGCTAATAAATATATTATAATTCATTATAAGATAATTATTAATTGTAATGAAATAGTAAATTATTTATTTAAAAAAATATTGCGCATAATTATAGTTATTAATAATAGCATAAATAGGGGTTGATTCTTTATATTGTAAGGAATATCACCCTTTTCGATATTATAAGTTGATTCTTTATATTGTAAGGAATATCACCCTTTTCGATATTATAATATCATCTTAGTAATAAAAATTGGACATTATGAATTAAAATCGATATTATAATATCATCTTAGTAATAAAAATTGGACATTATGAATTAAAAATACTTTTATTTAGAAAGTTACTTTATATAAAAAATTTGGATTTTTAAAATCTATGAGTCATTCACTTTTTGTTGGAAAGTAAATGTCTCATAAATTTCAAGTATGCAATATTTTTATATAAAGTACTTTTCCTAAATAATAGTATTTTTAATTTATGCCATACAATTTTTTATTACTAAGATGACATTACTTATCGAGCAAGGTAATATTCTTTACAACATAAAGTCATATGATATTAAAAACTACTACTATTATTTAATAAATATTATAATGAAATATGTACATAACATAAATATTTAATAATATAAATGGTTTAATTATATCAATAGGGTTACTTAAACTAATGATTATATTATTATTTAATAATTATACTCCTAAGTAAATTGTTTAATAATATAATAATAAACTAATTTAAATAAATATTAAATGTATGTTAATAATAGTATAAGTATTAACTATAGTATAACTTAATTTTTTTAATCATAGTGTAATTGAATAACTTTGTACATTAATGCCTTAAGGACCCAAATAAGGGACCCAAGGCATGGGACATGTGAGGTGTCACCCATCCGGTTGTATGAAACACTGTTCATGAACAGTGCATCATACAACCGGATGGGTGACACCTCACCTGTCCCATGCCTTGGGCCCTCTATTTAGATCCTTGTAGCAACACCCAACTTTGTAAACTACTTATATATAATTTATTAAATAATATAATATTAAATACAACAAGATGTCCACGTGTAAACGTGCATTATAATAGTGAATTTAAAATGACTAAACAAAGTCTTGTATAAATGACAATAGACAGACCATTAATCAGCACAAGTTGCTAAATAATAAACATAAAACATAGGCCCACAGTGATGTATTGCTAACTACGAAGAAATTCACTAGGGGTTTGTTTGGATTGAGGGGAATAAGGGTGAATGGAAGTTAGGGGAACCATTCACCTTGTTTGGGAATATTTAGAAGGTAAAGTTATTCACCCTAGTTCCCCTTGGTTTACCCCCTAAGGTACCGTTTGGCAAAGGGTTAAGTGAGGGGTTAAGGAGACTTAACCCCTTCTTAACCTGCCAAACACAACAAATCTATATAAGGATTAAAGTGAGTTAACCCTCCATAATTTGCCAAACATAAAAAATATAGAATGGTTAAGTTAACCCCTCTAGAGGGGTTAAAATGAGTTAACCCCTCAAAATGAGGGGTTTACTAATACTCCTATTTAGATGGAATAAGAGTTAACCCTTCTAATTATAAAGAAAATAGTCAAAATCATTGCTATTGCCAAACACTAAAACTGATCATAAAGGCTAAAATAAAACTTATTTAACGGGTTAATAATTTAGTCTTTCGGATTATCAAATGGGCTAAGTACATTAACCCTTCTCTTTAACCCCTCTTCATTAACCCTTTGCCAAACGGGGCCTAATAGTATAAAATTTGTTATCCCCCAAATTAGGGTGTAACCGAGGGGAAGGGAATTCCCTTCCCTTCCCTTCTATTCTCTCACCTAGTTTTCCTTAACTTCCCTTAACTCCATTGAAATCCAAACACACCCTAGAGCTTCAAGTACGGGTTAATTGCAAACAGACCCATGTAGTACTAATACCACTCAATTGTAACGAGACACATGTAGTATTAGCCCAAGTGTGATCACATCCATTTAGTAAATTTTTTTTTGACTCTTTAACACTTAAAAGTAAAAACTACTAGCAATTGGGTGCATGTCTTCACTGATAGACTATAACAGGTCTCTCCTCAGACATTTTACATCCATTTAGTGAATTTTTTTTGACTCTTTAACCGTTAAAAATAAAAACTACTAGCAATTGGGTGTATGTCTTCACTAATAGACTATAACGGGTCTCTCCTCAGACATTTGTATGATGTTAAGAGTGAAAAAAGCCCTCTTCAAAAGTTCTATTCCCAATAAGTAGAACTACATGAGATCTGTTTGCAACAAATAGAATGACATAGAGTCTCTTTGTAATTAGGTGATACCATAGAAGGTCTATTTGCAATTAACCCTTCAAGTATTGCGGAATGCCACGCTCATAGAAAAAGACCCCAATAATAAATAAGTAACTTGCCCAATGAATGATGCAAAAGTAAAAATTTCAAATTAAGGAGACACAAGGTGGACTTTGCATTAATTTTAAAATAAAAGAGAGATGAGTCAATCGGTTTATTTATTTATTTATAATTTTCAGAGCTTTCTCCTATTTTTTTCATAGTTTAGGTATTAGTCTAAATACCGTGCATAATGTAATTCCGAACTAAAAAAATACGTTTATCACTTTGTTATACATCCATACAAACCTTTTTTTTTTATAATACGCCACATCTAACTTGTTAGACTTAAAAAGGATCTTTATAAAAACAATTTTAGTACTGACATCCAAGAAGAGGTTTTATTTTATTATTTTGGGAGAACGTTAACGTTAAATGTAGATGCGAGTCTTTTTAGTCTTACCTCACGTTAGAGAAACTAGAGAAATAATGTAGGTATACACATTTAATATAGTCTTACGCCTAGTCAAAAGATAATTTTATACGGCTTATATAACATTTTTTTCTTTTCTTTTCTCATATTTTCTTTTCTTTTCTTTCTTTCTTTCTTTTGGTTGTGAGGGCTTATATAAATTGATTATTAGTATAATGCACAATTTCCATCTATGTTATTGATATATCAAGTACGGGTTGGTTGCGCATCGAAGAGGAGCAAAAGGGAGGCACTAACGATTTTTCACACGGTGGTATTATGATATATCCCAAAATTTTTACGGTGGTATTATCGTATGTTTGTAACATCGTAATTTAATCATAAAAATTAAATGATTGTATTTGTTTCTTCTATCAAATTATTTTGTATCGATTTATCAGTGTGCATCTCAGTGGAAAAAAGGGTGAATCAACAATGATACAACGACAATACCCTTATCTCAATATTTTGGTCAGCGATTTAAATTTTATTGTTTTACTTAGTATTACTAAGGATTATCTCCTCCATTTAATTAATCTTTAGCATATTCTTTTTAATTGATTCCAGAGATGTTCTCTGAGGAGGCTTTCTCAATAACTACAATATTATCACTTCTCTTAATTAATACATTAATATTGATGTACACAACAAATATTGCATTTTATGTAGCAAGCTTAACCTAGTACGAGATGTTATCAATCCACATTTTATAAACTCAAAATTTACCACATTTAACTAGCCATTAATCACATTTAAGCTATATTAGTACGTTTATAAGGATTTCCCTAGTATTTAAATTACGTGGGCATGAAAATTACTCAATAAAATGGTGGATACAAAAGGAATTTCCCAAAAGTATAACCATAATCTCTTCTATTTGACACAATGCTTGAGTAGTAACAACAGTAATCACAACATATGAAGCCTAGATAGAGTCTCATCTCTAAGCATCACATACTTATTCCTCACCATAGACCAAATTATCATGAAAATACACATACAAGCCAACATACCTACACATTAACGGCAGTCGAAATTGACATGATCGGAGAAAAGTAGCATGTAACAAGACTTTACTCAACTCAGTTCCAGACACCCCACCAGTTATCAACAACATGATGATGGTTCTCCCCAAACGGAAGATAATTACAGCCATCGTCACTTCTGTCGTCCTCCTCAGAGTGGACCCCACCACCGTCGACAGCGGAGCCCATGATGCAGTCTCCGTGGAAGGTTTCATGGAAGTAGGATTCTCCGCTGCTGTCGACAAGCTGCTGGGCGTCAGTGTCAACAACCGCGCTCCCTCCGCTCCCAGTGCTCAGGTGGTCCTCTGCCTTGGCAGCTTGCATGTTTGTGATGGGAGAGGTGGTCTTGCCTGATGTGGACTCAGCCACGGGCTCCACCACCGTGGGCTCCTTGGTTTGGAGCTTCTCATTCATGGTGGTAATCTACAGCGTCGATTGTAGACATTTGTCAGATTAATACTGGCAATGGTCGAGCTACATAGTGTCAAGCGATGTCGGGGACACTGCAGAGTTACCTACATTATGTATTTGCTTCTGCTAATATTTGTTGCTTAGGATATTCACTAGTATTGGATTGGACACCACTATGGAGAATAAAATTGTAACACCATCGATATATAATCCAAAATCAATCATAATATGTTAAGGTGGGGGAATAGGGATATCACTGGGACAAAATCCAGGATCCGCTACTTTTAAACTGGAAAGGTTCTTCTCAAGAGAAATTGAGAGATTATCAGATTCACTTATCCAAATTCTGAAGAGGGGATATTTTCATGTTGGAGGAGGTGATATCCAATACTAATGCAGCACCTGACTTTGTACTCCACTCAAGAAGGGAGAAAGAGCTGATGGAGGAGAAGTAGGAAGAATCCACACGTGTATTTATCCTCTTTCTCTCCCCTACCATGGGGCACAAATAGTGCTTCATAAGCACCTAGAACTTTTCCATGTGTAAGAGAGACTCAGCTAAAGAGCAGCTATGGGGTATAGCTAACCCTAAAATTTTCTTGTTAACTGTTGTGATTTTTTGTAATATAATCCTAAATATTTAGGACAAAATTTTAAAAACAACCTGTTTAGAAACTTATTTGTAAAAAATGACCTATTTTGAAAATATTTGCCAAATTCGATCTAGTTTCAACCAATTGACTGAAACTGGGTCGAATTTGGCGAAAAAACTTAAAAAACTTTACGGGACTTTAAGTCCCATGAAGCGAGGGATGGCAAATGGATAATTTTGGTTGGGTTTTGGTTGGGTCATAAATGGGTGGGCACATTTATGATCACTTAACCATTTATGACCCATTTAGCACTTGCTAAATGGGTTGGTTCTCATCCATCCATTAATTAAATGGGTGGTTCATGGGTAACCCAATAACCCATTTAGTTATGATTATGATGCTTCTATATATATGTGGGTGGTTCATGGGTAACCCAATAACCCATTTAGTTATGATTATGATGCTTCTATATATATGTAAGTTTTAGGGATCTACTTGCAATTATGATTATGATGCTTCTATATATATGTAAGTTTTAGGGATCTACTTGCAAACTTTCAGGGGTTTTTGACAAACTTTCAGGGGGGTTTTCTGCAAATTTTTAGGTAGTTTTCTGCAAACTTTCAGGGGATTTTCTGCAAACTTTTTCAGGGGGTTTTCTGCAAACTTTCAGGGGGTTTTCTGTAAACTTTCAGGGGGTTTTCTGCAAACTTTCAGGGGGTTTTCTGTAAACTTTTAGGGTTTTTTTTGCAAACTTTCAGGGGGTTTTCTGCAAACTTTCAGGGGGTTTTCTGCAAACTTTCAGGGGGGGTTCTGTAAACTTTCAGGGGTTTTTTTGCAAACTTTTAGGGGTTTTTTTACAAACTTTTAGGGGTTTTATGTAAACTTTCAGGGTGATATGCATGTGCACACACATAAGAAAGTTGTAACGTATTGCCGTCTGATATGGAGATGGAAATATATATTTTGTAAAGTTAATTGCAAATAAACTCCTGTACTATTGTTGTTTAGATAGTTTCATTTTGCTAACAGATCGTCAAACTGGACCCCCCCCCTCTTTCTAGCCAGAGCCTCTATTTGTCAACAAGAAAATAATTTACCCTTCTCTAGGGATAAAAGAATTAAAAGAGTTCTACTAAGAGGTTTACCTCTAGAAATAGAAGTAAAGGGATACTAAGTTCAAAACAATGATGCTAATATAAAGATGGTTTATCAGCAATTAACCCATTTGTTATGTTCGAAAGCTTACCAAGGGAAGGAAAAGAAAGGTGAGATAGGGAAAGGAAAGGTAAAGAAAGGCAGGAGAAATATAATATCTTATTTGGGAGTTTTATAAGGAGAATAGAGACGAACTTAAATTATGTTGTTTGGGAGTTCTAATTAGGGAAAGGAAAGGAAAGTAAAGTAAATGAATCTTAGCCATTGATTCATTATGATAGAAGGTCAAGATATCTCTTGTATTAATTACTTTTACTTTTATTTCCTTTCTCTCCTTTACCCCCTAACTTGAGCGCCTACTTTTTATATTTATATATCATTGAGGGTGTTTTTTGTAATTTTTTAAAGTTTGAGGGGGTTACTTGCAAATTTGATATTTATAGGGGACTACCGAATTTTTTTAGATTTCATGCGTCATTTGCAAGTTTAGAAAATTCTAAGATTGTTTTGTAGTTTTGAACTCTTGAGGGTGCTTTTTGCAATTTTTAAACTTTGAGGGTACTTTTTGTAAATTATAAATTTACAGGGGGCTGCTAGTAATTTTTTGATTTCATGTATCATTTGTAGGTTTTGAAATTTCAGGATGGCTTTGTAATTCTAAACTATGGAGGGTGTTTTTCTAAAAATTTAAAACTTTGAGGGTGTTAATTGTAAATTTTAAATTTATAGGGGACTATTGAAATTTTTTAGATTTCATATGTTATTTGCAAGTTTAGAAAACTCTAAGATTGTTTGGTAATTTTGAAGTCTTGAGGGTGTTTTTCTCATTTTCTACAACTTTTAAGGGTGTTTTTGTAAATTATAAAATATCAGGGGGCTGTTGGTAATTTTTGAATTTCATGTGTCATCTGTGAGGTTAGAAAATTTTGATAGTTTTTTTTATAATTTTTAACTCTTGAGGACGTTTTTATAATATTTTAAACTTTGAGGGTGTTTTTTGCAAATCTTAAAATTTTAAGGGGTTGTTAGTCATTTTAAGTGTTTTCTATAATTTTTAACTTTTAAAAATAAGTTTTGTAATTGTTTAAGCGTTGAGGGTGTTTTTAAAACAATATCCATCTAAACGAGTAAATGGGTGGGTAATAACCCACCCATTAATGACTCATTTATCTTTAATAGAAACTATACTCACCCATTTATGGCCCATTTAACTAAATGAGTGGGTTTGAATGGTTTATTTGGCGGGTGGGTATGGGTGGACAATTGGTTTTGGGTCCATTTTGCCATCCCTATGTGAAGCTTAAGCCCCCATAACCAACTTGATTAGGAGCGTCATTATAACTTCACGGGACTTCAAGTCCCGTAAAGTTTTAGGCTGAAATTTAGTCTGTTTCTTCGCTTCCCCTCACTTTCCTCTTTTCGATTTGATCCCCTCTCACGTGAAATCCCTTTCCCTTAATAAGTTAGGGTGGAAAAAAGAAAAGATAAAATAAAAACCTTTGAAAGAGAACCCCTTCATTCTCAATCTAAAGATCAAGGTCGAGATCTTCGATCGTCAATGGTGATCGAGGACTCCACCGGCAGTTGCAGCAGCAAAGCGGTTGACTCTTCCTCCCTCCTCTCGAACAACAACGTCAGCCATCAGCAGCAGTAGCACCGCCACAAGCTCAACGTCTTCAACGAGGTCCTCCGCCGCCTCACAGACTCTGGCTTGCCAAAGGCACAACCGTCGTCATGACGACGACCTTTGGGCCCACTTCAATCGCCTTCCTGCGAGGTTAGTGCCACCCTCTTGATCTCGAGGTTTTTTCGAGGATTTTTGCATTGATTGATTGATTGTTCTTGATTGTTTAGATATGTTGTTTAGATATGCGATGGATGTGAACATGGAGAGAGCGGAAGATGTGCTCACGCACAAGAGATTGCTGGAGCTGGTGCGTGATCCCGCAAATAGGCTTGCCTTTGCCGACCGCTTGGTTCAGGTGAGAAAAAAGGTATTTTCTTTGACATCTAACTGGTTTGTTAGCCGAGCAGTACAGGGGAATTCGAGAAAGAGGGTTAAAGCTACCTATAAGCTTCACGGGACTTCAAGTCCCGTGAAGCTTTGGCGCTTCTAATCAAGTTGGTTATGGGGGCTTAAACTTCACGGGACTTCAAGTCCCGTGAAGTTTTTTAAGTTTTTTCGCCAAATTCGAAACTTGGTCGAATTTGGTAAGTATTTTCGAAATAGGTTATTTTTTGCAAATAAGTTTCTAAAGAGGTCTAAATTGAAAATTTGTCCAAATATTTACACTGTCTGGCCTTTAAATATTTACCTGTCCTTTTATTAGAGCTTCAGAGCGTGGTCCAGTACTAGACAACTATAGGCGAAGGATAATTTCACCATTTATTATGGAACCTTATATAAGTCAAAAAGAAGTAGAAGTATTGGCTCAGTACAGAACTTGCAGTGTACTTACGCATCAACAAGAATAATATCCTTTTGTTTATAGGAAAAATATTTAAAAAAAAAATTATAACTTAGCTATTGGAAGGTGTCATGTAATTGCAATTAACTATCACAAGGTCTTACCCAAGAAGTTCTACTCTGATTTCTAAAGGGTGGCAGTGGGTCAGCCAGCTCTATATTCTCAGAGTTCGAGCATATGCATACTTACAATTAGATGGTATTAATAAACATCGGTAAGCTTCATGAAACTATTGTGTAAAATATTACCAATTTGATTAAAAAAAGTATCACGAACTATTTTTATTAGAGAAAAATATCATTTATTAGTTTCGTTAAACTACCATGACTGACAAACAGTACTATAAATTAACATGTGATATGCAGATGACATGTTTTCGACATGTTTGTCCTTATATACTTTACATGACTATATATTCTCTCATCCCCTCTTCTCAAGTGTGATTTTCTGGTAGTCTATAGCATTTTTTTGAAGATTTGAAGTTATATTGTTAATGGTTCAACAAAAAAACATAGCATCTAGACTTTGCTCTATAAATATATACCTGAGAGCGAAGCCGATCATTGTCCTTGAGGAGGGAGTCATGATCAGCCAAGAGGGAATCATAGGCCGCTTTCAGTCGGTCAAAGTCCCTCTCGAGCTGCTTGGTCTTCCAGCGAGCACGCCTGTTCTGGAACCAGATGGCCACCTGCCTCGGTTGCAGCCCGAGCTTCTTTGCCAGCTCGCTCTTGCGCTCTGGCTCCAGCTTGTTCTCCGCCTCAAAACTCCTCTCCAGCATGTGTACCTAATTTCATTCACTCCCATGCATCAGTAATCTCAGTGTGATTTAGTCTAATTAAGCTAAGTCATGCTCCACTAATAGTCATGGAATATTAAATCCTGATAAGTTAAAAAATTGAAAGTCAACACCGCCCATCACATGAAAGGTTCCCTCTTTTTTTTTTAATGTCATAGTAGCAGGACTGTTTCTCACATCATAATTGTCCCCGTTATATTTAGAGTAATTATATAAGTCATCCTACCATCTTAATTCTAATTATTCATTTGAAAAAGAATATAATGATCTGCTAAGTAACAAACTATTGTGATTGAACAAATGGATTCTAGATCTGAATCATCAGTTGCAACCATCCAAGATGAGATCTCTCAGAGGAACAAAGCTTTACCCTCGCTTTTTTTTGGGTCAATGAAGCAGAGTACTAATTGTCTGATTGATATTATTAGTTCTAGATAGATAAATATGTAAATATGTTTTTGTAATTCCTAAATTAGGTGAGTATATATCAAGTAAAAGAGTCTAAACATTTTCTGAACTTTCACAAGTTAAATACCTGTTCGGGAGTGAGGCGGCGCTTCTTCTCGGGAAGTTGCTCATCGTAGTACTCTTCCTCCAGAAGCTCTTCTGGAGAGGTGAAGAAGGGCCGGCGCTTGCTGACACCGTCCTCCATTCCAAGCAACGATCTCGACCCTTCATCAGTACTCTCCAAGTAAAGCAATCAATATGACAAAAAAAAAAAAATTCACACTAAAATTATTTCCACTCAGAAAACAATATTAATCAGCCAGCCTTTCATCCAAAAATTATTTTGAAAAAGAAAAACACTTTTCTAGTGTATAGTTGAGCAAAATCCAGAGCTTTCTTTGGTCATATATAGTCCGTAGTAGCTCTTTATTTAATTAAGCAAAAAATTCTTTGTACAAGAAGCATATATAGAGAATTCTTGTAGTGTACAAGTTTCTCTTTGTTAATATATCATAATAGGGGAGTAGTGGGGAAGATATCTAACCATTCAATCAAAATAGAATAAAGAGTATTTTTTTTCACATGTCAATAGAACAGTAAACTCTCTACAATCTATCGATCCATATATACTAAAGTGTCATGAAAAATCAGACAGAAAATTAAAGAAATCAATCTCTAATAAATCACTATAGACAATTTGAATCCATAAGTTTTCCATCTCTGCAAATATTAATTTTCTTTACCATCAATAAACTCCAGATCAAATATTTTCTTTAAAAAAAATTGAATACCTCGGAAGATCGAGTTCCCCGATCCGCCAAGGATGAGCATGTGACCACGGTGGGAAGAAGAAGAATCGAAAATCAAACGGCCTGAATCCATGACTTGCTATGTCTCAGACCAGACCAAACCACTGCAAGATCTTTGGTTCTCGAAACCTAGTATCACAAACTTATAGAGCTATATATATGTATACTCTCTCTTTATTTAAGAATGGATGTTTGCTTAGAAGAAGAAGAAAATCTTGTGACGGAAGAAGCTCGTACTCCACAGAAGCCTTGTGGATGTCTTCATCGGAAACAAGGAAAACCCCATCATGAACCACCACCACGGTAATCCTAAGGTTATTCAGATCAATTGATGGATTGAGAGCTTTGTATTGAGATATTTGGTCGGAATCTTGAGATTCCGGCGGCCGGAGAGATGGAGGAGGGAGTGTTCTCTTTCTCTCTTTCTGTTTTCTATTGGATGGCGTTGGAGCTAAAGTTGATTGAGGAGGAGATGGTGGCTTTTATAGTGAGGAATAGTTTGGTGAATGACAAAATTGCCCTTGGTGAGTTGGGAGGGATTATAGTTTTTAAATGGAAAGAGAGAGAGAGAGGGTTGAAAGGTCCATACCTTGTTGTCTGGTAAGGGTTCAGATTTATACTATGCAAGGAATCAGGTAGTCAATGACAAACATACCCTTAAAGTAATAAGTATTACAGAACTCTCATTTTTTATTTTGTAAATCTAATATTTGCAATCAAGAAGATATTCAAAAAGGACTCTCTAACAAGCAATAGCATGGTATTTGAATCTAAAGGATCAAACTTAAGTATGTGAAAATTGCAATAGAGAAAGGGCGTCATGAATGAGGAGAAGCAATAATTTGATCAACAATCTACCAATCTTGAGTTGTTATTGACTGACGTGATACTAAAAGAGAGAAAACTATCTCTCTCTTCCCTTTTAATTCTTCTTCAATCGAATGCTATCAGCTAGCAAGGATAAACAAGGGCAATCTCAGAGCCAATGATGTGAAACAATGCGTATGCAGGTAAGAAGAACAGCGACAACAATGCTTCACCAAATCAGCGATCGATTTAGACAGGAGCCTACAGAAGAAAGTGAAGTTCTAGATGGTTTTAAACAAAATGTGCAATGTACTAAGTTTACGGTCTTATAAATTATTCAGAAAAAATATAATAATTTGTTCTTGTAATAAAAGTTTGACTTGTAATATTTAAATCAGCGGATATACGAGGCAAACAGAGCCACTCTCTCACTAATCAAGAAGAACACATCACAATAGCAATTGATAATATAATTGATAATAACATGCACACGACAGCAGTTCCTAAAGTACCGGGTCGAGAGAAAATGAAAACTTCGTCGGTTTAAACATGCTCGACGTGAGAGACCTCTGGAGGTGATGCGATGACGCCGAATATGAGGGGAAGGAGATCTCCTCCGAGAGCTATGTAGCTGGGATGAAGTGGTGCGTCTGGGTGGAAGCGCCGGTGCCACGAACTGATTCCCATACGGCTCTCCATGCTATCAGCGATCTGAGGGGTCACGCTATCAATGTACTTTGCTGGGGTGTCGAAGGGCTGGTAGTCGAACCACTGAGAGAGTTGCGGAT